GATTTCAATGATCTTACTACCATTCGATTCATCTCATCGAGGCGAATCTAATGATATGTGTTTCATTTCTATAGCACCGATATTGATGGAGTAAAATTACTATAAACATTTAATGAATTTTGGTATCAGAGCACAATCTAGTGATTAAATTTGAATGAATTGGATTTAAATTGTCTTACTACCATTAGAATCGTCTTATCGAGATGAATCAAATGGTAGTAAGATCATCCAAAACGGATCACTAGGTGCTGATTTATTATTTGTTAAAGTTTTTATATATAAATTGGCCAAAATTAAGGCTAATTCTGGCCAAATATTTTCGTAATACAAAATTAATTACGGAGTCCGAAATTAATTACGGAATACGGAGTTTTTCTAATAAATTACTTAATAATTACAGAATTACATAATTACGTATTTCCGTAATACTAAAATAATTTCAGATACAAGTATACTACNCGAACCGGATTATCCGGATAAAAACCGGATAATTTTTTTAATTTATCCGGATAACGGTTTCTATCCGGATCGAAACACTATGCTATAGGAACAAAAGTATTTAATTTCTTAGATGCTGAAACTTGGGCGCCAGATATTCTATATACAGATATACTACAAAAATTTTCAATCAGAAAGCATCTGGAAAGTTTCCAGGAGCGTATGTCTGTCTCTTATACACATCTAGATGTGTATAAGAGACAGGTTTAGGATGACAAGGGTAAATTTTTAGCATAGAAGATATAACCTGAATTATAATTGTCTGGGGTCCTCTTACTGCGTCATGGTCACATGATACTGTTCTGGTGTCAGAACACCCCCTTTCATATAGTAAATTCAGTTAGTTCAGCTAGTACTATAATAATAATAATTCTAGCCAATTTTTGAACCCCTAATTTTAGGATCTAATATGGCATCATAGTAGTGTTATAGAAGTGGTGAGGTATTAGTATCCCTATGAAAATTTACTATCCTTATGAGAAAAATTCATGAGGACGCTCATAGGAACAATCTTAATATTATTTTTGGGCTTCTTAATTTGATTTATTGAATTTTTTATTACTTATCCCTAATTCCCTATATCCCTATGAGTCCCTATGAAATATAAAAGTTCTAGGAAAAATTGAAATTTTTCTATGGTATACCACTTGGGCAAATATAGTCATATATATGGTTGATATAATTGATATATGATTGATATATGGTATAAAAAAAATAAAAAGGTAAAGAGTTCAGAAATTCATAGGGACTCATAGGGTCATAGAGACAAGTAGTAAAAATGCCTTCCCAGAGTTTTAAAATTCCCAGTTTGCTATACTAACGGCATCCTTGTTAAATTTTTTTGCCGTCTCTATAAATTTTTCATGAGGCCAAATTTTCGATAAGTCATTAGGGCCAACTTATAGCATTAGGCATTTTCATTTTATTGAGAGTCTACCTCAATGCTTCTGGAATCTGCCCATTCTGAAGCATCTTAACCAACTTCTTCTGGTGATAATTTGCTTTTGAATGGGACTTATTTACATGCAAATTACAATATCTATATTTTGATGCTGTCGGTCTTACACACCTATCTTATTTACATAGAGGTCACTGACGTCTTTTTCAGTGAATATTACACCCTTCTGGTCACGTACTTCTATTCTCACAAACTATTTCTTTATCAGAGAAATACTGGCAAATGTATTTACTGCCTATTGATATTATTCTTTCTTCAGTCAGTTAATTTTTTTAATGTCTATAATAATATTAATTTTTATTTTAAACTTTTTTGTTGGGGTATTATACTAAAACTCAGGGTATACTTAGTTACCATATTCTGAAAAAAATACCATGATCCAAACTGAGCTTTCAGAGTTTCTCTCTGATGCGCCCGCCCCTTTTCGCTCAGAGGCTGAAAAAGATAAAATAGCTGGCCAAGTTATCCAATACTCCAGCGAGAATTACTTGATGAGTATTCCAACTCGTGATGATTTAGTTCTTAGAAATGATGAGGGGTCGACTTCAACTCTCAATGATGAAATAGCAAATCATCGAGATTTTCTATTCATGCCAGCCGTTGTAGAAGAAGCTAAAGAATATATTAATCAAATTTCCCATTATATACTTCGCCTCTATGGATATCTTATTAATGGCCAGAAAACAGTTGTCACTATTACTGGCATCAAGGTATTTTTCGATATTTGTATTTCTGACAATACGAGCATTCCTAAATTCTGGTCCAAAATAAAGGACATACTTATCACTGGGAAAGACAAAAATGGAAGTACCGTAAATATGAGTCTATTCCGAAAGAAATGTATAAAGGCGTACCATATCCATGGTTATCATGCAGAAAAAAAGCTGTATCTCCGTATTGTTACATCTAATAAAGACCAAAGGTTTACTACTCTCAATATCATCTCAAGCTACAATTCAAAGGTTGATTCTGAATATGAAATAGAGACAGCTTCAGATGATACAGGCACATATTATCGTAAAGTTGTGAGAGAATATAGGATACCACTTTCTGAGTGGGGTCTATAAGCAACTACAAATATAATTACAGTGCACCTTACTATGTAAGATCCTATCACTGCCCACATGCATTTTATGTCCACATTGATAATTTTCACCCTATAGAGAATTTTGAACCACTTTATAAAATCTTTCCATCTTTTCTCTTTACCTACAATTGAGCATTGGTTCTAACATGAGACATAGAAATACATGATTCACGTGGATCAGAGAACTTTTCAGAAGTGAAAAATGACATATTCCAAGTTTTTACGATCTGTATGACCTTATTTCACTGGAAAGATAATCCAATTCCTCTAGAGAGAATATGTTTAGTCGATTTAGAAACAAAACTGGACTTGCGGTTGATCACAATCATATGCAGGAATCAGATCAATCTCTTAAAGGCATTCGCTTTATGTTGAAAATCTTTTGCCCCAGATATCTAGCTCAGTTTTAATGATTCAGGATACGATTGGCCTTTCATTGTAGAAAAGGCCACCAAATTAAATGTTCTTAAGTGGATGGTTCAGCAAATGTCGGCAAACCCATATAAGAAAGCTGATGTCGAATCCATCTTCACTTGGAATTATTTTGGTGGAAAAGGGGAGCCACTAACTAATAGTTTCTTCAGAAGGGACCAGTACATAAAGAAAGAGGACAGAGATCCCAAAAAAGCGTTAGGATGAGAATCCATCAATATCAAAATCAATCCCACTTTGACTTTCGAATCTTTATTTCTTAAACTTTCAGGGTGTGTACCGATCGATGTTTGTACGAACTTCTTACAACTCCACTCTCGCTCTGAGAAAAGGTTACTCAGATATTTCTTAGAAAAATATGGTCTCAATGGCAAAGCTGATATGCCTATGAGCAAATTATGGAAGTATTATTCAGAAGCAAAAGACAGGGCTTCTGACTCTTTCAAAAAACATATGCACGAAATCACAAATTATTGTATTATAGATGCTTTACGTTGCCAGGAGCTCATGGTCAAATCTAATGTTATAAATGATTACAGAGAGGTGGCCTCAATTGCTCATATATCATTATTCGACTCACATTATTATGCTATAGTAGTGTTTCGATCCGTGACCGGGTCCAACCGGTTGGACCCGGATAATTTATTTTTTTCGGATATCCGGATAAACGCGGTTTTTATCCGGATAATTATCCGGATAAAAATATCCGGGTCAGATCCGGTATCCGGATAAAAAATATAAAAAAAAAAATTTTTTAATATTAAATATCTTAAATAATAGTTCTTTTAATTTTCATTTTTATTTCAAAGTATATGATAGAATAATTTAATAATTAAAAACATGTAAATATTCTTATAATAAAATTCTTTATTTAATAAAATAAAATTCAATACATTTAATAAAAAATATTTAATAGAATAAAATTCAATACATTTAATAAAAATAATAATGAAAAATGTAATATCATTCATCTAATAATTCTTCCAATTCGTGTTCATCTTCCACATAATCATTATTTTCCACATCCAAATCTGGTGGAAATATATTAATATGATCCATAGTTTTCATGTTACGTTTTAAAAATACCATTTTACCTAATAAAGCAGGATCCAATAAGCTTCTTTTTGCTGTAATGTGGTTTCCTGCATCTGAGAAAAGTCGTTCAGAAGCTACAGAAGTAGCAGGAATTCCTAAATATTTTCGTGCAATAATAGAAAGAACTGGAAAAATTTCCTGTTTTGATTTCCACCAATCTAATGGGTTTTTATTTTCCCTAGCAACTGGTAAAAGAAAATAAGTAGTAATTTCATCAGCTATTGCTGATGATGAAGTAGAACTTTCTTTTGTTTGAAACACTTTTTTTACTTTTTGTTGACGTCTTTCTTGATGCTCATGTAAAGATCTCATGCTAGGAGTTGAACTTGTTGAGGTAGTTGAAATTGTTGAAATTGTGGGTGATGGTGGAGTACTAGTTTGTTGCTGCATTTCTCTCTTTAATTGATCATATTGTATTTGTAAACTTGAATGAATTTTTACTTTTGTTTCTTCATCAGTTATAAAATTAAGATCTTTATACCTTGGATCCAAAAGTGCTGCCATAATGCCAAACTCATCTGGCATTGCCCAATAATGTTTCAAACCTAAATAAATTTTATTTTTTACATTTTTTAATACTTCTGAAATATTACTATAATCTACTTCAATTTGTGAACTTTCTTCTTCTACTATATCAGAATTAATAGTATTATCATCAGAATCTTCTAATACTTCATATGAATTATCAGATGGTTTTAAAGAATTTGTGAGATCTGTAATAATAGGAAACATTTGACTTAATGTAACATAAGTATTTCCAGAAAAATCTCGTGTAGCTTTCTCAAATGGTGCCAAAATGTTACATAATTCATCTAATAACTCCCATTCATTATCTTTTATCATAATTTTTTTTAATCTAATTCCATCAGTTTTTTCTTCAGATATAAGAGAACAAGACAAGTTTACACTAAGTTGAAGCACAGCATATTGAAGAAAAATCAGCCGATCCCATGCCAAATATGAAGAGTTCCACCTTAAGTAATTAAACAACAATAATTATATAAATTAGGATAAAATTTATTAAATAATTAAATTGAATTAAAATATTTACCTAGTAGATATATCTTGTATTAAATGTAATGGTTCTTCATAACCAATCTCTTTTTGCACTTTAATCAATCGTTCAATTTGTTTTTGAGTAGAAAAAAAATTTATTAGTTGTTTTGTACGTGATACCAAATTTTCTACAACTTTTAATCCTTTACTAATTGCCAGCTGCAAAGTATGAGCAGCACATGAGAGTCTTTTAATTGGTGTTAAATCTCGAATAGCAGCTACTACATTTGCTCCATTGTCTGTTGTTATTGATACAACAAGATTTTCAATTTCCCACTTTTGCATAGCATTTTTAATACCTTCAGTAATTGCTTTTGCAGTATGTGGTGTTGGAAAATAGGATATTTCAAGCAAAACATCCATTATTTCAAAATTTTTATTGATCCAAGTTGCTGTTAAGCCTAAATATCCATGTTTTGAACGAGAAGACCACAAATCAGTAGTTAAAGATATTGATTGAGCAGTTTTTAAAAGCAGTTTCAATTTTTCTTTATTATACCCATAACTGCGAGCAATCATCATTCTTAATTTTTTTTCTCCAGGAACTGTAAATTGTGGATCTATAATATACATATGCTCAATATATGCCTTTTGAGTTATGGTTGATAATGGTTGAGTTGTAAGTAAAATCCACCGTAGTGTTGATAATTCTTTTTCTTTTTGTCCATTTTTATTGGATGCAGATTGAGTATGCATTGGTGATATAATGCCGCTTTCTAGAGGTGGTATAATTCCATGTTTAACAAGATGGTAACTGAGATTTCCTGTAGACCCATCATATTTGTAATTTTTTGAGCATTTTTCTCCATCATCTAATAAAAACTGACAATATGCACGTATTTCTCCTTTATCATTTTGTTTTTTAATAAAATAATCCCATACCCAACTTACTTTTGTTTGTGGTTTAATTATTGCAGCAGTTTGTTTAAAGGGATTTGAATCATTTGGTGCTCGATCTGTTGATTCTAGTGTAGTATTTGTCATTTTTTGTTTTCCAAGGGCTTTAGATAATTTTGCAGGACGTCCTCTTTTTTGCTTTGCTAGTGGTGTTGGAGTAATTTCAACAATTTCATCACTAGAACCTTCATTTTCACTTAAGGTAATAATGTAATCTTGATCATTGTTATTTTCCATAATTTTGTGAATTATTTTAGCTTTCAATAAAATAAACTTTAATTGAAATTATGAAAAATTCAACAAGGGAATGTACAGTATTTATTAATCTTTATTATGGCTTAGAAGTTAGAACTGAATTAACTGTGATTTTATTTGTAAAAGTTTTAATAAACAAATAATAATTGTCATAAATCAATAGGTCTAAATAATAAATTTACCTGATTAATATTGTAAAATTTTACAAAATTTTATTGCTACAAATTTAATAAATTCCATGAAATTAATAATACGAAATTAATTAAACAAATTCCACGAAAATAATTAAACAAATTCCACGAAAATAATTAAACAAAGACATAAATGAAGTTAATTACAAAATTAATTAAGAAAATACTATGATATTAAACTAATAAACACTACGAAATTAATTAAGCAAATGCCACGAAAATAATTAAATAAAGCCATAAATTTAAGCCACAAAATTAATTAAATAAATTCTACGAAATTATTTAAATAGGTGCCACGAAACTAATTAACAAAGCCACACATTTAAGCCACAAAATTAATCAAAATGCCACGAATTTAATTAAATCTATGCTATGAATTAAATCTAATATATGCTATAAATTTCTTGATTTACAAAAAAAAAATTGTATAATTTTTATCCGGATTTCGGTTTCTATCCGGATATATCCGGATTTTTATCCGAACCGGATTATCCGGATAAAAACCGGATAATTTTTTTAATTTATCCGGATAACGGTTTCTATCCGGATCGAAACACTATGCTATAGGAACAAAAGTATTTAATTTCTTAGATGCTGAAACTTGGGCGCCAGATATTCTATATACAGATATACTACAAAAATTTTCAATCAGAAAGCATCTGGAAAGTTTCCAGGAGCGTATGTGTTTCCGCCAGAGAAAGGTCTTGAAAATAAATGTCCTGTCACGAGTTTAGACTTCGCTTCCTTATACCCTAGCATAATCATGATTTACAACTTCTCACCGAGAAGATGATCTTAACACTTTTGGAAGCAGATAAACTAAAGAGAGAGAATAAAGTGCTTTACAGTATTGAGTTCAAGTATGACGGTAAACCTGTGTGAGCCTGGACCATATGGCATGAAAATAAATCTGATCAGAAAGGTTTATTTCCAAAAATATTGGAAAATTTACTCAATATACAGAATGAACTAAAGGTCCGGCTAAAACCTCTTGAAAAGAAAAGGGAATATATGGGATTAGTTAAAAAGTAGAATGGATGCCAGCAGATCTATCTTAATAGCAAGTGCAATCGAAGATGTTTGTTCGCAAAGCGAACCTAAGAAGCGTGCCGAAATAGCCAGCATCCTGAATCCTTTCATTGGTTTGTCATATGATGATTTTAGGAAAGAATATGATTCCACCTGCTTCAATTATAATTCTCTAAATTTAAAGCAGAAAGCCATTAAATTGTATATGAATTCATTCTATGGTGTAACTGGCCAAAGTGACTTCCCATTTTACATACTTGAACTAGTATTTGGAATCGAATATATTCAAATATACTTGAGTATTCATTTAAATTTATAAAGTGTATTCGAATAATATTCGAATAAATTAAATTTCCTTTTATAGTAATGATTTACATAATTTTTAGCCTGAATTATGATTTTAACTCAGTTAAATTTAAGGATTTAATACGCAATTAGAATTTTAACTATACTATATCTGGCTAAATGAATACTTGAATAACCACTATGCTTATTCAAATACTCGAATATACCGTATTTTGCGGGCCACAGTACCCCCCTATGCACAGTACCCTACAAAAAAGAACTCCCATTTTCTACCGATTTTATTATTTAAAATAATTTAATAGATACCTAGGTATTACTCATGATAAATACCCAATTATTATATAAGTTTTATACATATCTACTAATAATAAAAACTCACACAATGGTGGGGGGTATAAGGTCAAAACCTCTGAAATCTGTATCATATCCGGGGTACTGTGGCCCCATTATATGATACTCGAGTTATTCGAATAACTGTTACATGATTCCAAACACTAACTTGAACTAGCCGGAGGTGTTACTTTGGCTGGACAAGAAAATATCAAACTCGTTGCAGAATTTGTGAAAAAGAAAGGTTTTGGGATAAAATATGGTGATACAGATTCCCTATATCTTACTTGCCCAAATTTCTATTATGAGAAATGCAATTTATCTTACGATGTTAAAAAAGGCGTAATCTCAAAACAAGAGTATTGGACCAAAATGGTCAAAATTACTATGGAAATAATGGAAAAATTGTGCAATAAAGTAAAGAACTTTCTTAGGTTAAAAACCAGATTGGATTATCTCAAAATAGTTTATGAAGAAGTACTATTTCTGGTAGTATTCACTGGAAAGAAAAAGTATTTTGCCCGATCACATCAAATAAAAAAAAATCGTCAAAAAAAAATAACTCTTTTTTTTTAATTTTTTTTTATTAATTTTATATTACATTTTATATTAATATATTATCACACACATCGTTAATTCTTTATAATTATAAGTGATATCACTAATATAAGGCAAGATCATTCTCGTCCTTTAAGTCCTGAAGAAGTGCCACAATTAAAGAAAGCAAAAAGTAGTCAAAAAAAATCAAGTTGGATGTGGAAATATTTTGAAGAAGTAGATATTAATGAACAAACAAGTGATAAAGGAGAACCACTTAAGAGGTGTAAAATTTTAAGTACAGATGGAAAAAAGTGTGGAGCTATTCATGTTAATGATGGTTTAACCAGTAACACAATTAATCATTTATCATCAGAACATGATATAACAAAGGATGATAGAATGAAGAATGTTGGTATTTTTCTTAATCTTTTATTATATATGGATTATGTGCTGTTAAAACTAATTAATAATCTTATTATAATATAGAAAAATCAGTCAACAATTACATCTATTGTTCATACTCGTAAGCATAAAGAAAGTCGGCAACGTGAACTTCACCAATTTTTGACCAACTGGATAACTGAAGATCTTCAACCATTATACATAGTACAAAGTCTTTCATTTCGTAAATTGATTAATGAATTAGATCCAGCTTTTATAATTCCAGATGAAAAAGGAATTAAGAGAATTATTTCAAAATCCTATAAATTCACATTGCCAATATTAATTGAAAAAATTAGGGTGAAAGCAAAGAGTGTATTATTAACCACAGATATGTGGACCGCAAAAAATGGGCAAGGTTACATTAGAGTAACTTGCATCTATATTGATTCCAATTTTGTACTTAATGAAATTACCTTAACAGTTAATCATATTCGTTATATTCACACGGCTCAGCATATTGCAGAAAGTTTAGAAGAAACATTAGAGGAGTGGAAATTACGAGAAAAAGTCTTTGTAATCACCACTGATAATGCTGCCAATATGAAAAAAACCATTTCAGATATGAATTCAATTAAATGGCAAGCATGTAAGGCGCACACTTTACAACTAATAATTGGAAAAGGGCTAATCCCAGCAAAATCATTAATTTTACGAGTGAAAAGATTAATTGATTTTTTTATGCGTCCCAAACAATCTGAACACTTAGAAGATATTCAAAAAAATATCCAAATGCAAATAAAGATGAAAATTTAGAATCCAATGAACAAATTGTAAGTTTCAATAATAATTTATAAATTCTTATATAGTTATATATAATTATAATATTAAATTTTAATTTTTTTAGAGTGCCAAAGATACAGCCAAATATCTTTGATTAGTTAATGATGTGGCCACTCATTGGAATTCAAATTATCTTGCCTAGTCACGTTTAATATATTTGAAAGAATGGATTAAGCTTTTATCTAATACTCTTTCAATTAGTACAGATTTAGATACAAAAAAAGATGCTAAAAGATTAAAGCAAATAATGATTACAGATGAGGAATGGGATTTTCTTGCCGATATAATAGAGGTATTATCAACATTTGCAGATGCAACAACGGAATTAGGATTTAGGAGGAAGTAAATATGTGACAAGCAGTTTACATTCACGATTAATAATAGAAATAATTAAAATGCTTGAAACTGATTCACAAAATATTAATAGAGAAGAAACAGGTGATGCATTTGATGAGGAGAATCAAGATGAAATACCAAATGATGATATTAATAAATCGGTTAATACTTATGGTTTAATTAATGAAATTAAATCAATTTTATATACAAATTTAATTAAGTATTATCCTACAATTACTACTGATGCTTTAATTTCTTCAATACTTGATCCTAGATTTAAAAGTCTTGATTTTACTTCATCAATTCAAAAATCTCATACTGAGCAGCAGTTACGAACTCTATTTGAACAAGAAAAAAATAATCAAAAAAATACACCTGACGTATCTGGTATATCTGATTCATCCAGTACATCTGGTGCATCCAGCACATTCAAAAGAAAATTACTAATGGAACGACTTATTAAAGATAATGTAGTAGCTCTTGATGAAGTTGAGGAATATTTACAACTTAATGAAATTCCTTTTGCGTCAGATCCACTTGTATGATGAAGTGGAAAACAGGATAAATTTCCTATTTTATGTAACCTTGCACAAAAATATTTAGCAGTTTCTGCAACTTCAACTGCAAGTGAGCATCTTTTTTCTGACGCTGAAAATTTATTAACAAATAAAAGAACATGTATGAAACCAAGTTTATTCAAAAAAATCATGTTCTTAAAAAGAAATGCATCAAATTTTGATACAATTTATCCAACTGATGAATAAAAATTATATTCTATTGCATTAATTGCAATATTGCATTCATTGGATGTTTAAACTTAAAGTCTTAAATAAATAATAATAATAGTAATAAAAATATTAAAATAATAAATGATTGAAAGTTAAAACGATAAAAATGTTGCTAAGAAACCATTATTAACCCGTTAAACCCTTTAAATAACCCGCTATCCAACTGTTAAAACCCATTAAGCAACCCGTTATTCACCTGTTAAAACCCTTTATCAAACCGTTAGCCAACTGTTAGCCAACCGTTATCAACCTGTTAACTAACCTATAAGAAACCGGGTTAAACTTTCCTTAGCAAATACCAACCCGGGTTTGTATTTCTCTTAACAGATCAACCTATATATCCATTAAAAACCCAGGTCTGAACACTAGTGTACAGTAAATATTAAAAACATTAAAAACGTCCATACCAGAATGGGTATGACCTATTGACATTATGAGTCTTATGAACCAATTGTTGAAACTTTGAAGATTTTAGAGTATCCTGTTTAAATGATACTTTTGTTAATGGCGGACTTGGATAACAGAGGTTTGTATACAAAATGTTGAAAGATTCCCAAAATATTTCTCACACTCTAAAAAGCAAATCTATTTCATTAACAAATGAGAGCATTTTTATTAAAGCGGAAAATGTTATTTGTCCGACATGAAGCATGGTATATATTCCTTTGACTAAATCCATTATATAAAAATCAATCTTGTAGTCTACAAAAGGAAATCAAAAGGATCAATTAAAAAGAATTATATGGAAGAGTAAAGCCATTTTATTATTTGTCTTATCAACACATTAAAAACCTATTACTTTCACATCGGCACCCTTGTCAATCGCCAAATCTAAGCAGTCCTTCATGAAAACACCAAGGCAGATGAGATCATTACAATTTTTAAATACCTTATCTTTTTGTGACGGAAGACTAACTTCTCTTACAAATAAAACTGCTTTTCTTTGTAACTGATGAATGACCGAAACTGTGAAATCTAAAGTTGCTTGCCAAAATTAGGTAATTTAGGCCAAGGCCAAAACTTTTTTGTAGCCAAAAGTTTAGGCAATCAAAAATAAATTTGCTAAAATTTATAATGCTGAAATTATTGCCAAAAGTCCAAAATTTGACCGAAATTATTGGTATAATTCTGGCCAGAAAATGATCGACATTATAAATTTCCTTTTTTAGAAATTTATGTAACCTTTGTAAAACTGATTTCACCAATTTTACTGGGAAATAAAATTTCCTTTTTTGGAAATCGGTGTAACGTCACGTGACACAATGTCATAATTTCGGCCGAATTTTAATTTTGGCCAAAATTAAGACTGAGTTTTGGCCTAATTTTGGCATTTTCGGCATTTGATTTTATTGGCCGAAACCTTTCGGAATTTCCTTTTTAGTTTCGGCAGGCAACCTTAGTGAAATCGGGTTGTTTTGGCCGGCCTTCAGACTTTCTCCTACTTTCTTCCAGTGCAGTATTCAGCCATTCAACAATATGTCGATTTGGGTCATCAAAAAAACCTCTCATAATTCGGTCAAGATTTCATGTACGTTGGTCTCTACAAACAAGCCCTTATTTCTTGCAATCTCCAGTGATTGGTTTTGATAATTACGAAATAACAAAGATATATTGTTTTCTTCTAAAAAAACATCATTGGTTGAAACTTCATTTTTAAAGGTCAGATCACATAAGATGTCGTCAATTGCTAAAGTGTCATCGCTTTCCTCTATAAAAAACGGGTTATTATCGATGTCAACAAGTATTGCACTTTTAGGTTCTACTCTTGGAAGTTCTACTGTCGAATTTTTTGACATTTGGCTATATGGTGATGGTGTAACGCACCCATCCGACTGAAGATACTGCTCTTGAATATTAGAAATATCATCTGGCACCAAGGTGGTGCCAGACAATTCCTCATTATTATTCACATTATAAGATGGTTGTCGCGAGAAGTAGTGCTCAATTTTGGTTTTAGTTGTCCGTTTATGATCACTCTAAGTATTAAAATACAAGATGACAAGTTTCTGCTAGCTTACAAGAAGCAAACGAAAAAAATACACTACTACCTCAGTTGAATCATCAAAGTCTTGAGAAATATTCTATAGCACAATACAAATTATGGAAAAGGTCAAACAAACTTTGTATCAAATAAGAATAAAAACAAACAATTTAGGACTTACCGGAGAAGGAGATTCTGCTGATTTCAAATCAGTATTGTGATGATATTCAATATTGTGCTATTGATAAAAACAATGTACAGTATATAGTTATTTTTATTTAACATAAATAGGTTTAATTAACTTACCAATTGACGAAACATTCTACGGTCATGTTCAGTCTAGTTGAGAAAAGTGCAAGTTATAAGTTATTCTCCAAAACAATTCAAAATACGACGGCATGGTAAACTTACACGATCATTAAGCATAGTATTCGTATGTGTGCCCTAGTTGAGAGGATGGCAAATGTTACAGATTTTCATGAGAAATTTCATAGACTGACCATCATACTTACAAGAGTGCGAATTTGTCGAGTATAGTTTTTCGCACGAATCAATTTCTGTTTGTGAGTTTCTTGGTGTATTTTTTTCCGGCATTTTTGAGTACTGAAAGAAATCATGAAATTAATTACAAAAATAACACATAAAAAGTAAAGCAACTTTCCATAACATTTACCTAACAGGAGTACTTTTTGATTTTTTAGTTCTATCCATTGTAAATTATAACTTATTAGAGAACGAAAACCGGCAGGGATGGAAACTCGTTACACACTAATATATAGGGATGTTAACAGTTTATGATTGGATGGTTCGAACCGCAGTTTAATCATAGGACCGGTTTCGGTTCAGTTCAAACGTCAAACCAAACCGAGACTGAACTGATAGAAACCAGTTTAGTGAACCGGTTTTAGATCGGTTCAATTAACGGTTACGTGTATCTGCACACGTAACTTTTTACAATAAAAGAATAATGGATTTTACATTCTTACATTTTTTTATATCACCTTGCATTATTACAACTATGTCGGGAGTTTTTGAAAATGACGATAATAATTTATCAGATGATTCCTTAGCATCTGATGATGAAAGAATTATAAATAAGAAATTGTCAGCAGATGTTTGGGAGTTTTTTCAAAAAATTCAAGATGAGAAAAGTTGGTTAATTACAAACTATAAGTGTATTTTGTGTGCAAAACTTTATTCACCTGGTAATCCAACATCTACACTTAGACGTCATTTAACTAAAAAACATCCATCACATTATAAAAAACCTGAAACCCGCCAAACTACTTTACGTTTTAAACCTTACTCTCCATCAAAATCTAAACCTATTACAGATTCTTTGGTTGATTTTGTTGCAACTGATTTGCAACCTTTTACCATTGTTGAAAATCCTGAATTCAAATTATTAATTAATAAATTGAATCCCCACTATATTTTACCTTGCAGACAAACCTTAAAGGAAAAATTCATAGAAAATTATAAAATGAGAAAAAATGTGTTAATTAATGAAGTCTCACAAATTAACTCAAAAATCTCTCTTACTACTGATATTTGGACTTCAGAAATCTCAAAAGATTGTTATCTTGGAGTAACAATGCATTATATTAACAACAATTGGGAATTAAAAAATCTCTTACTTGATTTAATTCCTGTAAATGGTTCTCATACAGCTGGGTTAATTACTAGCAAGCTTTTACAAATTCTTGAAGAGTTTAGTATCAGTAATAATATTCTTGCATTAACTACAGACAATGGAAGCAACATGATAGCATGTGGTAATCAACTAGCAACTGAATTAGATCAGGAGTTTAATAATATGGCTTTTACTCATTACAGATGTGCTGCACATATTATAAATTTAGCAGTAAAAGCAGGAATGAGTCATGTTGGAAATGAAATCAAAAAACTTCGTCAATTTGTTGTTAAAATCAAGAATTCACCATTATTTTTGGATAAATTATCAGAAATTTGTACCCTTAAAAAAGTTAAATTTCTTAAACCAATTTTAGATATAGACATTCGCTGGAATTCCACATATTTTATGATTAATAGACAAATCTTAATGCAGGGTGTTTCAGAATTACTTGCAACAACAAATGTTGAAGAACTTGGAGATTTATTTCCAACAATATCTGAATGGCGACATATTAAGGTATTTTTTATTTTATAAATTATTATTTATTTTATTTTATAATTATATATTTATTAATTATTATTTTTTTTTTTACAGGAATTAGCAAAGGTATTAGAACCTATGTATGAAGCAACCAATTTATTATCATCATCAAAAAATCCTACACAAGGTGATATAAGATTGGTTTTTAATGGAATGTTTAAAAAATTGGATCATTATCAAAGAGGAAATCACCATACACAAAAGGCAATAGCATCAGCAATTTGTAATAAATTGAAAGCCTATTGGGACAAATATTTGAATCAATCTTCCATTACTTCTTCAATATTAGATCCACGCTACAAAACCACATTATTTAGTCATAATGATATAACTGAAATTATTAGTAAATTACAAGAATTATATTTGTCATATTTACCCTTAAATAATCAAACCATACCATCAGCACCAGCACGATCATCTCGTGATTATTTTCTTAATTTACTTAATCCAAATAATATTCGTCAAGAAGTATCGCATGATGAATTAGATCGATACTTAAATTCTCCAGTAGATAGTAATACAGGTTCTTTAATTTGGTGGAAAACTTATGAAAAGGATTACCCAGTACTATCTCAAATAGCTAAGGATTATTTAACAATCCAAGCAACGTCGGTTCCATCAGAAAGGGCATTTTCAATTTCGGGATTAACTATTTCAAAAACTAGAAATAGGTTAGATCCTGAAACGGCAAGGGCAATTATATGCATGAAAAATTGGATATCAGAAAAAGAAAGAATGGAAAATTGAATCAATACTTGCAATATGTCTTTTTTTTTTTCCTTTTTTTTTACATTATGTGAAATTTTGTTGGTAATTTTTTTTCTTATAATAAAAAATTTTTTGATATATTTAAATTCATGATCTGCATTACACAATTTTGTATAAAATACTATAAATATCCGGTCTAAACCTTCGGTCTAAACTTCGGTCCAAACTTCGGTTCAAACTCTGGTTCTAAACCTATAACGGTTCGGTTTTGTACTCAAACCACCAGTTTTTGGACCGAAAACCGGATGGACCGAACCGTTAACATCCCTACTAGTATAAGGCTATAACGCTTATAATAGGACTGCTCGCGTCGCGAGTCGCGAAATTATCCAATCATTACCGATGTAACCTCGAATCAGAGATTCCGCAGTAGTAGTTCGAATTCAAACATTGTCATACATTGTTATAACAAGCGTGCAAAAAATTTTTTATGTCTGATCAATGAAGTCAAGAAACTTGCATTGTCGCTATGGTCTATGCTTCCATCAGAACTCGTGTTATGATGTTGAATTGAAAGACTGGGTTAAGTCCCTAACCGGTGATGCAACATCTTTGCTTTATGTAAAGATGGCAATAACATGTGCTATGGTCTATGCTTCCATCAGAACTCGTGTCTGATGTTGAATTGAAAGACTGGGTTAAGTCCCTAACCACTCCCCAAGTGATAATTTACAGGGGTGAGGGTTTCTTGACAGTAAATTCGCCAAGAATTCAAAGAATGTAAGGTTCTCAGATTATAGTATTGATTTAAGGTATTCATTTATACATCAATCAGTTTTGTTGATAAAAGATAAATTAAAAATTACAGAATTAATTAACGAAATGTATGTATGATGCTATCAAAGAGGGAGGGAGTACGCGGATCCTAGGCCATTTAATGCGAGTCCCAGCATCAATTTATTTCTTTGCTCGAAAAATATCTATAGCTAATAAAATTATTTCCATATCTATACGCCTATCTACTTTGCTAACTACGAGATTCTCACCTCATACTCTTTTACTACATTAGATTTCCGAAATAAATTATCACACCCATAACTACGTCTATCTATATCACTAATTTCACTCCCACTCACATAGACTATGTAAAAGATTAAGTTCCGTAAGAGAACTTTTCCATGATATATTAATTTCGAACCTATAGAATCAGAGAATAGAAATAAGTATATGCCCATAATTTTTAACGTTACAATTCATTTAATTCTTACCATGATATTTCATTTTTGTAGCATTTCACTCCGCCAAATATTTGAGAAAATTATTGCTTAATGTTTTTTGGATGTTGTTTGATTTACTGCGCCAGATGTTTGATATAAGACATGTGATGAGAATCAGGCAAAGCCACAATTTCACTGCGCTGATGATGCCCATCACGGGGAATTATTTTTATGATTAAAATTTTATTCGATATACTGCGCTAGACTTCGAGAATCAGCCACAGCAATTTGATTAGACGGTGTCAGCGATCCCGATTTTCTCAACGAATATTAAAAGGATCAAGAAAGGTAGTATGTCCGTTTTATTTTTGAGCATCTATATAGGTGAGAAAATCGATTAATATCGTGATGACGTTCTTCCGGAATCTAGCCAATCAATAATCAAACCCACCTTATTATTACTTTACGGAATATACTCGTTTGATTGATTGTAGATATTAATGATGAATATAACGGTAAGTTTGATTTGTTTCGTTTGTTTTTTTTTGTTTTACTTGCATAAGGCGGATAAAATAGTTCACAAACTGAGACTTCACCTTTTTATATAATTTCCAGGATCGATTTTGGAATACGCTTTTGGGGAAATTACGTTAATATGATCGCATTACGAAAATCTGATCAACCGCCTCTCCTTACGCTGTCCGTATGTAAAGATCATCAAGGGGCCCTTTTAATAATAATATACGTAATAATTTTGAGAATATGCGAGAAAGTTTGAGAATAAAAGTCCTTGGATCTTCGCTTGCAATCTTATTGCCCAATAATTTAGGACATGCGAGTAATAAAAAATTAGTACTGTATGTACATTGAATCGCCACGAGAAAAATATTTGACTACATTGCTCGGGTTACTTAGTGGCCTAAATGTCTTTTATTTCTTTTATTTTCAATACATTAAGCTAAAAAAATTACATGATGCGGGACTAGCCCTGAATATATGATGCCATTCTATGACTTTAGACTATTTATTATACACGATTATTTTTTCGAACGATATTCATCTATTCTAGTTTTTTTTCTAAAGTTTGCCAATACATGCTGTGTCATATGATAATCGTGAAGACTCTTCACACTTCCAACCAATAGAAGCAGGATCTACTGGCTAATAATTCAATGACGTCTTACTGCGCATAACATATACTGCGGAGAAGTAGAGATGACGTACTTACTGCGCATGATATATTCAGAAGTACGATATCTAAGCACCCACGTGATTCGGAAAAAAGAAACGTAGTAATAAATTTATAGGACAATCGGTTACCGGAGAGATAATAGGACTCATCATTGGGGAGGTTTTTCTTTCATATCTTCCGTCACGATAATAATAACCTCTATCACATTCACCATATTCATTATATCCACCGTATCTATCGTATTCATCATCATCCGATTCGTCTGGCATCTCTTCTTCAGAATCGTTGTCACTCGTTTCTTTCACTGGATGGGGTGTGGAATCATGATCGACTTCCTCATTAAAATACACATCATCGTTTGACTGGACCCTGGGGGACTCGTTCACCTCTTCTTTCTCTACCCTAGCTTCGTTCTCATATGGTGTACCCCAATAAGCAGTCTCATCGTCAAAATCCCCCGTGAGCGTTTTTACATAATCCTCCAAATCGGCTGATAATGATGAATTTTCTTCAGGCAAGATTTTTTCGCTAGTCTCAAGATTTCCGGCTGAAATTTCAGGAGTTGGAAAATCGTCCTGCTCTGCAGAATTATCCCGTGGTCCCTTTGGGACCCTCTCTATGATCTCTTGAATTTGATCGTTAGTCAACTCTGAAATGGAATTGGGACTATATTCACTAAGATACTTAATTTTATCTATACCTATTTTCTCGATTATTCTAACAAGCTTCATAGACCTTTGAGTCCTTCTAGTTAGAGAACTACGGGAGATTTTTGGAAGCTGTATACCCATTTCTTTTGATCTCTTCTCACGAATGGTGACAAGGTGTTCTAACATCTCATCATAAATTATACCTTTTGCTTTTTTCTCTCCGATTTTGCCATTGCTATTTTCCACGAGTTCACTAAAGTGAACCATGAATTCTTTCCCAAAGTTAACCCAGCATAAGATTTCTTCCTCGTTGGCTTTTTTAGTGCGATATTCGGCATCTGATGCTTTATCAAATAGCTTCGCTAAATCGAGCAGAGATGAAGAGCATTTTGGGCGACGGGCCGTCGCTGAAATTTCAGTCATATGCAATGCTTTTGAATTTTTTGAATTGGAGGAATTCGACTCTTGATGCTTTATATTATCCTGAATGGATGGCTCTGCCATCATACCATCAGTTATCACCTGAACAATTTTCTCAGTGCCCTTTTTCTTTTGACTATTTTGGCCTGATTTCTTCGCAACCTCTTGTCCCGAAGATGCCATGCTTTCAGTATGAAGCTTCTTTTCCTTATTGCGTTGCTTTATTTCACTACTAACGATTTTCTTATGAGCCTCAAGCAAGAAATTATCCATCTCTTTCTCCTCTAACGGTTTTTCATGATGGACCGCACCCGAATTGAAGTTAGATAAGATGTTATTAGGAGTATTATCATTTTGCAACTGTTTTTCTTCCAATTTCTCAATTCTAGCATCACGTCGGTTATTCTCTTCTATCATCTGCTTCATAAGCTCCGCATTTCTGGCCTCAATCTCGACATTCCTGGCTTCAACCTCAGCAAGCTTCTTTCTAAGTTCAGGTATCTCGGCAAGTTTCTTTCTAAGTTCATGAATCTCAGCATTTTCAGTCTCAAGTTCGACATTCCTAGCCTCAAGCTCAGTAATGCGTTGCTTTAATAAATCTATTTCGGATTGCATGTCCTATAATATTTTTATGTTCTGTATGTTAGTATTCAAAATCAGAAAAAAAATGTAGGTTATTTCGGCTGATCATATCCTAGGGATACGGTTTTGCCAAGATAATTTTTTATTAATACATGAAAAAATAAATACAAATGTTCGGGACGTAGCCCGCGATACATGACGTCTATGTTATTATACATGATTATTTTTTCGAACGATAACCCTCTACCCTAACCCTCTTCCTATCCGGTTCTTCATCCACGCACTCCAGCCTATCCTTCAGCAACCCAACGATGACCTCCATAACCTGCTTCACATTTTTACGCAAATCTTTTTCTTCCTCCGATCCTTCCTTCAAGGCAGACTCGGTAAATCGGATATTGATAGGGTCCTTGCTCGTGCTTGATATTCCATCCGATGCGAAAAGAATAAAATACCAATCTGAGGCTGTTGTAACGATGCCGTATATATAGTCGAAGTCTTCCCCAAACGCATCGCCTGATTTACGTTTCCTATTCTTTTTATTAACTTGAAGGGCGCTCTCACATTGGACCAAATTCTGGGCAAAGCCCATGGTTACTTGATGTAACTTCCCTTCCGTTATACAAATAAGCTCCTCGAGGGTCTTGATTGCATAGTCAACCCGGCCAGTACTTTCTTCACCAACGACTTCGAGCTGAGGAACCAAGGTAAGCTCTTTATCAGATATTATTCTTTTGACGATATATAGCGAGGCGTGGAGGATGGTTGAAATATATTCACAGCGCATAGCTTCGTTGCTATCAGCAAGTAAGGTTCCCATATTTCCCAACCTACGCTTTATTTCCTTTATACACTGCACCAACTCCTCATCACCATCATCGAGTTTGTAGGTTGCCTAGAAGGATGTATGGTGTTAGTGGTTACATATAAATTCTTAGTCTATGTGGCGTTTAATAAACTTACCGGCGGAAATTGACGAATAGTGCCTATACCGTTACCATCGATGTCATATTTTGCCAATACCTCACTCAAACTGCGGTACGAGGAGAACGCACGCTTCGGCTTTTCTTTGAGGGCCTTAATTTCTTTGGCAAGTTTTATTGCGGGCCCACCGGGAAAATTGTATGGTGGAGCTAAAAGCTCTTCTTTGGTTAGGCCTGGCCGTCAACTTCTTGCTTGCGAAGAATATCATAGTGCTTTTTATCATCGAGTTTGAGGTTCTGCTCTTTCAAAAAATCGATAAGGGTTTCTGTATCCCAGTTCTCAACCAAGTAAGAGTCGTGTTCAGATGTTGAGGTGGACATAGTGTTACGTTTTTATAGTGGAAATAGGCTCGGATAAAAAATAGTGTTACGTTCCGGAGTAAGATAAAATTTTCTGTTCGGGAAAAAGAATACTGGGCATTAATATAGGTTTTTATGTAGCACAGGCATTGCATCATTACACGTGACCCGTTTCTCATATACGTTCGATAAAATAATAATAATAATACTTTATTTATGAAATAAATCGTTGCCGGATACTAGGTAATAATACATAAAAAATTGGCCGTTAAGGCGCTTCGCACGACTATATCGTTACATGATACGAATAAAAATACTAATTATTTTTTGGTCATATAATCTGTTAAATCTGTTATAATTTCTCGAACACCTGTTATCAAAAGATAATGTCTGTAAGAACAAGGCTCATTAAATTTTCAGCATAACGTTATGCAAAGCGCCGGCTAAATTAATCACTCACCCAGCCCCTTGATATAATTCTCAAGTTCTAATGCTTGTCTTAATGTCATTCCATACTCCTTAAATTCCCATCCGGTTAACTTGAGAAATGAATCACCAGTGATTTTTTCCTCCTCAAGCCTTGTAAAAAAGCCATCACCGACTTCTATGCATTTTAATTTGGGATCTTTCCGCAAGAACTCGATAAGTATATGTGATTAGTTTTCATCAAAGATCTTGATTGCCTTTGCCTGATCATGAGGTTGTCCTCTTTTGCAATAATTTACTATAGTATAGTTTTTTGCAGGAGAGGCATGGTTGTCGGGACTGTGGTGAAGTGCTTCACTGGCAATAGTCATAGCCTCTGATAAATTCTTCGCACAATTCAAAATGACTGCAAATACTGCCCCTAATTTGCGCAAAGAACTAGGAAGTAGTGGTTTGCCAGTTTCAGGAAGGAACTCATCTTTTTTCAGAAATGTATTAAACCATAACACTCCGGGCTTTCTAGAGTCTCGTAACTGTCCAGAAGAAATTGCTTCCTGAATTTATACAAGCAATTCTCTAGCTTGCTCCTTATTCTTCTCTAGTGATCTAAATACTCGAGGAATGACTTGTTGTCCTCGATTTTTTGCATATCCAGTTACACCTTCATTAGATATACGCAAGGTTTTTATTTCAGCAGGACGGATGCAAAGCATTATCGTTACATCAGCAAGGGCTTGTAAGCCAAGGGCTTTGGATACATTATACATATCCAATCTCACTCTCCTTAACTGATTCTAACGAGAAGTGGTCCAGATAATCAATCCCTTCATCTTCACATTGTTTACTATGCTCCTTTTGGATTTTATTAGCTGAGCGGGTTATGTCTGGAATCAATGTAGCTGAGATACATATCGGTGGATTTGTTCACCCTCTAATTAACATGTTTATTTTAAGGTACTTTTGTTACATAAATTATTACGCAGTAGGACCTGAAATGAACATTAAAAAAATTTTATTTGGTTTTATTAGATAAATTTGATAAATAGTTCTTTTAAGCCAAAATACAATAAATATTATTCTTAGCAATACTGATAATATCTGTTGTGGAATCTCACTTTATACAATAGCTTCTAAATCTTTTTTGTGTAAAAATCAATAATACATATGCTTACAATTTGTTTGAATATAAAAGTTCCTATTTTGTCTACAGCAAGATAAATAAGAATTAATAATATGTTTTGAAAAATGCAAAAAATGGACAATTTTATGAAAGTTATTATAAAAAAAAATTTTTTAAATATTAAATGAGTCTTAGAATACTTTTATAAATATTCATAGCTATTGTGTCTATATAAATTTTTATTTTACTTTTTGTTTTATTAAAACATACTTACTTTCTAATAATACACATTAAAAATACTATGCAGGTAAGAAATGGGTTTTTTGTTAATGAAATGGATTTTTTGTGTCTATTTTACGTTAAATAATTTAAGTTTCGCAAATGTAGATTTTCACTCAACTTATTATTTAGTTAAGTGATATTCAATCAGGTGATTTCATAACATTACAAAATGGTTTTGGGTGACAGATATTATGAAAATCATTCAAAATTTAGCATTATGCAAAAGTGAACAAATCCGCCGATATGAATTTTTTCTGAGACTTTGAGGTTTCACAATTCTCTTCGAAGCCTAGAGATTCGTGATAAATCAGCGCTAGCATTGGAGGCAGATTCAGCTAAGGCTTTTGCTATAACTTTTACTTCTGCTTCACCAAGATTATTCCAAATAATACGCTAGGCCAAATCTCTAATAGTCTTTTTTGGTAAAATTTGACATGTATTCACTGTGTCTGGTTCTCCTTCTTGGGTGATATCAGGAGTATCAGGAATATTGGGTAAGACTCCTCCTTTTTTCTGACCAGCTGTTAGCTTAAGAATTAATGCAAATACCTATTCTTCGCTAAAATTGTACTAAACTAACCTGTGAATTATTTTCACAAGAAGGAGAGGATGATTTTGTTAAAATTTGGAAAAATTTTGAAATTCCAAAAAAGTGGTCTCGTCTACCAAATCCAATTAGTCATTACAATAGCTTTATGATGTCTGATCTTCTTAGACTAGCTATGATTATGCCATTTTTATTAAATCGATTTTTAAAGGAATCAAGCCTCAAAAATAATGAAGCAGCCACTATTCGACAAAGGATTGATGTGGCTCGAATTAGCTTAGTGCTAAAAGCTATTATAT